GCAGCCGGGCCAGTGGTCACAAGTTTCGGCGCACGTCAAGACAAAGCTCACCACGCATTCTTCGCACGCTTCCGCTGCTCACTGTGGAGTCCTCATCCATCGTTGGCCGCCCTGTGACCTGCCAGCCCCATCATTAGCACCCCGCTCAACGGCCCAAGACAAACAAAGGCGCGCCTTGGCTCCTCGACCAACACCAAATGGCAGCCAGGCCCCTGGTCACAACTTTCAGCGCACGTCAAAGCAAAGCTCACCACGCATTCTTCGCACGCTTCCGCTGCTCAATGTGGGGTCCTCGTCCACCGTCGGCAGCCCTGTGACCCACCACCACCACCATTAGTACCCCCCTCGAAACGGCTCAAACAAGAAAAAAGGTGCGCCCCTTGGCCAACACCAAATGGCAGCCGGGCCCCTGGTCACAATTTTCGGCGCACGTCAAAACAAAGCTCACCACGCATTCTTCGCACGCTTCCGCTGCTCAATGTGGGGTCCTCGTCCATCGTTGGCCGCCCTGTGACCTGCCAGCCCCATCATTAGCACCCCGCTCAACGGCCAAAAAAAAACAAAAAGTGCGCCTGGGCTCCTTGGCCAACACCAAATGGCAGCCGGCCCCCTGGTCACAATTTTCGGTGCACGTCAAAACAAAGCTCACCACGCATTCTTCGCACGCTTCCGCTGCTCCCTATGGAGTCCTCGTCCACCGTTGGCCGCCCTGTGACCCGCCAGCTCCACCATTAGTATCTCCCCTCGAAACGGCCTAAAGGTGCGCTCGTCAGCCGACACCAAATGGCAGCCGGGCCCCTGGTCACAATCTCTGGCGCACGTCGAAAAAAAACACACATCGCAGTTTTCTCGCGTGCTCGGTCTTTATCATAAGGTCCTCATCCACCTGCGGCTACCCTGTGACACAGCACTACCGTCAGAAACGCCCGCGATTCGCGCGTCAAAAATCGCAAAAATCACTCTTGCTCTTGACTCTGGCAGCGGGCAACATGGATAGCATCTTCAAAAGAGGGCTTAAGATCGGTTTCTCACCTGCATTTGAGCGGGAGTGCTTCGTGCCGGATCTGACCAGGCACCGTGGCTCTTGGGCCTCGCTAGCGCGTCCATCAGCGCACGAGCCATCGCGGCTCCTCATGGGTCAGATCGAGGAATTGTCTTGACAACAAATGGCAGCCCAACACGAGATCAGCAAGAATGGTCCATCCATGACGGTCACGCGGCAATGTCGTTTGGCCACCCGTTCATCCATGACGTCGCTTGCACCTCGGCAGCACTTGCCCGTCGCGCCACAACGACGACAACGCACCACCAGGAGTGCGCGCGCGCCCCGCCCATGGCCCGCTTCATCGTGGTGCGTGTCAGTGAGAAAAGAAAAAAATTGAAGTCAAAAGCAAAGGGAAGGATATAGAGGCAAGAGGTTAATGCAGCAAAGTTTCAATTAATTGAAGCATATCTTAGCCATTCCAAGTAAAAAGATGCAGTCTATTCAGCAGTTATTGAATATAATAAAGATGATGACATTCTGACATTCGGTTCTTCTCTAAAGAGCTTCCTGTGTGTGTTTAACGAAAACTGTCGAGGGGGCCGACTTGGGCTTCCGCCGCACAGGGAAGCAGGACCCTCGCACTTTCAAACACAAATTCCACAAGACGCCAATGCCCATCCCCTGGAAATGGGCAAGGACCGGACGAGTACAGCCACTTGACAAACAAGTCGCGCGTTTTTATATCCTTCAATGTCCTTTCCCTCAAGTTGTAGCCCATCCGTTTTGCCAGGTCGCGCAGCCCCGAATGACAGTCCGAATAAAGGAGGAGACAGCTCAGGCCCGAATCCAGTCCTTGAGACTGCCTGCAACGGTGATTCCGTGTATCCCATCCACGAATCCCCTTTGGCATTCCACAAGCGTAGCAGCACGTCCATTTGGGATATGCGAAGCCCACGAAACATTCACTTGTCTCGTGTCCTCCGAAGTGACACCGCTTGCAACCACGATTAGATACGCATTGATGCTCGGCCTTCAGGACGGGTTTCGCCTGTCGAATGGTACATCGCATGCAGTAATCATCCATCAACTTCAGAACGCCAATAAACTTGTCAGCCGCCGCGTAGTTCATCAGATATTTTTTTTTTGTCCCCGATTTCGACCGAAATATTGGGGCGACGTTGTGCCGATTCGGTGGCGTAGCCGCAGCAGATACCGGGGCTTCAGAGCGAGTGATAGCAGTAGCGGCAACGGTAGCGGTGCGCGTGCCACTCGATGCTGCTCGTTTTGCTGCGGGAAGAGGCGACTCCGNTGCTTGCGCCGCTGTTGAAG